AAAAAGCCATTTTCTGTTAAAATAAAGGTTGGGAGTTGACTGTTTTGAGGTTCTGTCACTCTTTGTTTTATAACAATATTGTTTGTGAACCCCTGTTCCCAATTACTGCCATCAAGCACTGATTGTTGTTGCTTTAGCTTTTGTGACTGGACACAATTGTTATTTGTGCCAGTAATTTTATTGATATGGCTTTTAAAACTTTTTTAGGTCAAGAAAGACATTAAAACTGGTCATTCAAAAGGATTTGGTTTTGTTCGTTTCACGGAGTACGAAACACAGGTGAAAGTGATGTCACAGCGCCACATGATAGATGGACGGTGGTGTGACTGTAAACTTCCTAATTCCAAGGTACTTTCTTCTATTATTTTCTTTGTACAGTAGGACTTTTTGAAAAACCACTAATTTCATTTGAGAAAAACTACAAAGTTTTCATTTAAACTACCCTCTTCCTTCTTTGTGGGACTTAGGTTATCGCGCCCTTGCACTGTGCAGTGATGCTGGAAATAGCCTCTTGACCACTTCATTTTTGTTCACTTTTATTTAGTTTGTTCTTGGTTTTGCTGCTATTGACTTAGTCATCTCTTAAATTAGAGAACATGTACATAGTGACAGTAAGAGTACATTTCATTAGAAAGACCTATCTTGCCCATCTGAGACAACTATTACTTTGTTCCAGGACCTTACTAAATAAGTCTTGCTAGAATCTAGCCATGTCTCCAAAATTCTGAGTTTGATTCTGCGTAGAAACCTTTTAGGGAAAAGCCTCTCATCATTAGGAACACATCATCTTCATCATAAAGCATAAGGGCACTCAGAAGAGCAGCCAAATAACCTTTTACATCCCCAGCCATGAACTTTGTAAAGTCTATTCATTATGCTGTCAGCAGTTTCTCATTTGCTCTCTTCTCTTGTGTGATTTGACTTAGCAAAGCCCAGATGAACCTTTGAGAAGCAGAAAGGTGTTTGTTGGGCGCTGTACAGAGGACATGACGGCTGATGAATTGCGGCAGTTTTTTTGCCAGTATGGAGAAGTGGTAGATGTCTTCATTCCCAAACCATTCAGGGCTTTTGCCTTTGTTACATTTGCAGATGATCAGGTATTTTTTTTTTTTACTTTAATATTTTAGTCCCTGCTAATTCGGTAAACTTTTTTCATGAACTTTACCCATCCAGCTGTTTACCATGCTTCTCAAAGCCTCTTGGCCTTTATATAAAATTTTGAATGTGGGGTGCTGGATATTGGCCATGTATGCTTTTAAAAGTATTTGTTAATTATTTGTGGAAGTATATGACACTGTGTTGTGAATGATAACTTTGTGCAAATGCATGCATTTCGACTGATGGTGGTATCTTGTCTTCTGAAAACAAATTACCAGAAAATCCCTGCTGCTTTTACTAAAGCTAAAAAGGGTGTTTTTGTTTTAATAGATTAAGTTTGGGCAGCTTTTTTCTACCTTAGAGACTGGTTTTAATCTTGACTTTCTTTTCTAACCATCCTGAAGCATAGTTTAACCTCATTTATTTGCATCCCTTATTTCTTATAGGTTGCCCAGTCTCTTTGTGGAGAGGACTTGATCATTAAAGGAATCAGCGTACATATATCCAATGCTGAACCTAAGCACAATAGCAATAGGCAATTAGAAAGAAGTGGAAGATTTGGTGGTAATCCAGGCGGCTTTGGAAATCAGGGTGGGTTTGGTAACAGTAGAGGGGGTGGGGCTGGTTTGGGAAATAACCAGGGTAGTAACATGGGTGGAGGGATGAATTTTGGAGCTTTCAGCATCAACCCTGCTATGATGGCTGCAGCCCAGGCAGCACTGCAGAGCAGCTGGGGCATGATGGGCATGTTGGCTAGTCAACAGAACCAGTCGGGCCCATCGGGCAACAACCAAAGTCAAGGCAACATGCAGAGGGAACCCAACCAGGCTTTTGGCTCTGGCAATAACTCGTATAGTGGCTCTAACTCTGGTGCAGCAATTGGTTGGGGTTCAGCATCAAATGCGGGGTCAGGCAGTGGGTTTAATGGAGGCTTTGGTTCAAGCATGGATTCCAAATCATCAGGTTGGGGAATGTAGATAGTTCTGGTAACTATGGTGGGAATTAAATTTTTCTAAACTCATGGTAAGTATATTGTAAAATACATATGTACTAAAATTTTCAGAATCAGTTTGTTCTGTGTGCAGTATATTCAGCAGTATTTTTGACATTTTTCTTTAGGAAAAGAGGAAAAAAATTAAAGGAATTTTATAAGTTTTGTTACATAAAGGGTTGAAATACTGAATGGTTGAAAGTGAACTGCTATTTGCCTGATGGGTAAACTAACACACTACAATCGATTATTAAAAAAAAGATTTCTCCTGTGATATTTTATCCCTGGACTTCTCGTCAAGTGAATTTCTTTGCATGTTCAAAATGGAAACCATTAGTCAGAACTACATTCTCCTTGTTTTAATTTGATCCCCACCATACAGATTTTTCCTTAGAAAAATCTCCAATCTGGAGAACATGCTGTCATGATGTTGGTATTTTTGTTTCATTTTGTTTTTGTTTTGTTTTTTAACACTGTCTCTCCTCATATACTAAAGTATGATATGAAGGCTTCATTTAATCTCTGCAGTTCATCTCATTTCAAATGTTTATGGAAGAAGCACTTCATTGAAAGTAGTGCTGTAAATATTCCGCCATAGGAATACTTCTGTCTACATGCTTTCTCATTCAAGAATACTTCCTCACCCTGCACGTGCTGCGTCTTTGACGGTGGGTGTCCCATTTTTATCCGCTACTCTTTATTTCATGGAGTCGTATCAACGCTATGAACGCAAGGCTGTGATATGGAACCAGAAGGCTGTTTGAACTTCTGAAACCTTGTGTGGGATTGATGGTGGTGCCGAGGCATGAGAGGATGGTATGAGCGAGAAACAGGAGAGAGCGCGTGCAGAGACTTGGTGGTGCATTGAACTTGGCGAGATGTGTCTCTCAATCCTGTGGCTTTGGTGAGAGAGTGTGCAGAGAGCAATGATAGCCAGTGATGTACGAATGTTTCTTGCATTCAAAGGACATCCACATGTGTTGGAAGACTTTAAGTGAGTTCTCTTCCTAGTTAACCAACTAGCTGAATGTGTTAAGTGAAATGAATTACTTGTATTTTTTCCCTTATGTCAACTGCTGTGAATGCTGTATGGTGTGTGTTCTTTTCTGTTAATGATATGTAAGTGTGGTAACGTGACCTGAAGATGATGGGGGCTGTGACTGGGAGCACTGGCTGAGCTTGTGGTGTGCTTTGCAGGGTTTCTTTGAAGCAGAGTCCACCAGTGAGCTCAGGGTGTGTCTCAAAGAAGGGTGGAAGTTCTAATGTCTGTAAGACACCCCTCAGAATGCTGTTTGCTGCAGTTCTGTGTTCTGTGCTTGGATGCTTTTTAGAAGATTTGTCAATGTTGGAAATTCTTAAATAAAACTGATTTAAATAATATGTGTCTTTGTTTTGCAGCCCTGAATGCAAAGAATTCATAGCAGTTAATTCCCCTTTTTTGGCCCTTTTGAGATGGAACTTTCATAAGTTTGTTGCCAATAGTTCATTTTGCTTCAAATAAACATGTTTGAAAAGTTGTCTCAAGTCAAATGGATTCATCACCTGTCATGCATTGACACCTGATACCCAGACTTAATTGCTATTTGTTCTTGCATTGTCCAAAATAAGTTTTGTTTTTTGTATTTTTTTAATCTAGTTTTTAATGAGTCTGGGTGACCTCACCTAAAATGGTAAGCAGTACCCTCCAACTTTCCTTAGTGCCTCTGCACATTAGGTGATAATTCTTATTACACAGTTTGTATGAATTTCCACTTGGGGAAATCATGTCTACCTTTTAGAATGTTTTAATTTGGGGGAATTGGGTAGAACAGTTAAATGTTTAAACGATTGCTTTTTTATGCTTTGTAGCAAAGCAGATAAGCTTAAAAGGGGGGGGGGGTATACAGACACCCTACCTAATGGATATGAGAAGGAAAAGTGGAGTTAATTGCAGTCAGGAATAAGGTTGAAGAAACCACAAAGTTTATCTTGTGCCTAAAATAATCATTTAGGAAATGTGACAGCTTATGAACTAATAGTTTGGGTTGGTTTCTTATTTGACTGCAGGGGGAAAAAACTGTTAAAAGAGTTGTCCTTTCCCTGTCCCCCAAACCCCTTCCCCCCCTCCTTTGAAGTGCAAATATAGTAATGGTAAATAAAATTATTTGCAAAACTCAGATTAGGCTCTCGTGCTGCATTGTTAAGTATGTGAAAGCAATAACATGTTCATTCTTTATTATTGTATTTCATGTAAGAGCGTTAGAGTTCTTGTGTTGTTATTGCTCCTAATGCCCTTTAGCTAGTTGAGTTACAATAAATAGGTTTGTCATTTTGCAAGCTGTTTCAGACAGTGAAGTCATGATTTCCTTTAGCTTTTTGAGTAATCCCCAAGTTGTTTCATTATTCATTTTCCTCTGTAAAAGGATCTTGAGTTGTTTTAATTTCTTTCTGCATCTAAAGCTGCATGATGTCCAAATCCTGTACCATCTGAATTTTGCATTTTAGCCCTTGCACTATTACTCAGCAGCAGTAACATGGTAACACTTAAAATGGTATTCGGGAACCGCCAAAGACTAAACGGGCAAGCCTTCAAGGAACCCAATGGTAAGTTAACTTGTCAATGGCATGGTTTTAATCCCTTATTTACACTTGTATAAATCCAGAATCAAGTTATAGAATGCGTACAGTGTTGAGTAGTCTCTTATTAAAATCTATTTATGGGACTAAATAGCTATGATGGGTATTAGTTTGCCCTCAGAAAAAAATGAAGTATATAAAAATATATTTTTTAAACTATTTGGTGTAGAACTGTTTTAAAACTATTTGGTCTTCTCTAAATGCATTTATTCTAAGTATTTTTAAACTAATTGAATAAAAGTTATTGTTGCCACCATAATTGTGTCTGGTGTCTTGCTGGAAAAAAAAACACGGTAGCTTTTTTTTTTTCCATTTGTGTCTAGGAAACTGGAAGGCACTTAATCATCTATAGGAAGTGCCTCATACATAAAAGTATATAATTACTCAGCTCCACAGTGAAGCTTAATGTAGGGTGATACTTAGAGCAGCTGAACTGAAGAGATTTCATCATGTTTTAAGGATATAGACTTCTGAAATGTCAAAAAGATTAGAAGGTTGAACCAAAGAGTTTTTTAAGTGCATTGTCCTCCAAATGTTACCTTAAGTGTATGCTGGGAACGGAATGGGAAGCGGTGACTTCATAATAGTTTGCACATGACACCTTAAAGGGTGCACAACATTTTTGGTCCTCAGCACCCCTGAGACAGGCACCTCAGGCATGAGTGAAGAATGTCACAGTTGTGACTAGTGTACTCATATCTAGTGGGTGTCAGTAAAGAAATTAAAACCAGTATCTCTCCTCCCACCACGTGGAACAGTGCTTTCTGCTGCTCTTGTCAGTTGTTGCCATTTAGGAAATTCTGAGGAACGTGGCTCCGTGTTGTGAATGCTCAGCTTAACCCTCCTTCTTCCCGGAGTGTTGTATCTTAGAGTTTACCATTTACATTTATTTAGTACATTGCAACAACAAAGCGTCTTCACAATCTCATTTTGATTCTTAGGAGCAGTATATGCATTTATACATTTCCATTTTCTCAGTGATGGCATAGGTGCAGAGAAGTGACCTGTAGTAGTGATCATGGCCTGCAGTGTGATACTCTGCACATTAGTCACAAGGGGGATTGGCTGAAGAGTGGATGGAAAGAAGCAAGTCCTGCTCAGTATTAGAAAAGCAACTCTGAATACAGTTCCTCTTCAGAGTAGACATGTACTGCTCTGAAGGTAGTCAGGTTAACCTGGGCTGCTACAGATACAGTCTTGTGTGTCGAGTTTTCAGAAACTTCATCTTAGAATATTTTCGTTCTTTTTTTAACAGTTTTAAGTTCATGTTGGTATTCCACATTTTAGGCTACTTTGTTAGACACTTAGAATATAGGTTGCTTGGAAAGTACTTTTTATTAAGGGAGAAGTTATTGAAAGTTTTTGCAATTTTAAGAATTATTCAGAATTATGTTCTCAATCCAAGAAATATAGTTAACAACATTGGTATAAACTCCATACTGATTCGCCTCACCGCATCCTAAGCCCCAGGACACTATCCCTCCTACAAACCATTTTCTAGTCTCATGGTCTAGAAACACTAAGGGCCCTCCACTGTCCCCGGAACAAGAATCCTTTCCACCACTTTGAAAACCAGCACATAGCATGTTGTCTGTTAGGACAAGAGGCTTCCCTCCCGGGGACTTCTTCTTTTCGAATGCTGCCAGACATGTTTGCCAGTCTACAACTGGTAACTCAACATACATTAGGCTCTGGGCTCTGAGAGCCTTTTCAGTCCTTCCCCAGCCAGACACCATTCCCAAATCATTTGTTTTCACATGGGTTCCGTTTTTTCTTGGCAAGCAAATCGGTGTGACATTCCTGTTGATCTCAACACGTGTCTTTAGCTTAATCAGTGCGATGTCATTGTCAAAGTTGGCCTCATCATATGTATAACCCTCATGTATAAAGACTGCGTCTGCCCAGGCTTCTGTGTAATGAGGTGATACTCTCTTCAGAGCGCCCATCCTGATTTCCAGAGACGATAGGTCTCTCTGTTCATATACTGCATGAGCAGCCGTGAGAACCCAGTTGTCATATAACAGCGCGCCTCCAGCCAGAGCTTCCCCTAGCAGCATGACTTGCCAGGGAAATTCACCGAGCTTGGCCTTGCTCCCTCCAAGCACTCGCTCCATCCTCTGAGATGCCACACCACAAACTGTTGGAAGGAGAAACAGTTGTATTAAGTATGTGAAATTAATGTGGAGCGTGAAAAGGTAGTAGCAAAAAGTCATTTTCAGATTGTGTGTCCATGCAAGATGATGTGTACCCCAGCAGTCCTCCTTTCTGGAGCAAAGACAGATCACAGAGGCACAGCAACATCGTGTCCCATCGCTTAGATCTACACAATCAACAAAATAAATCAAGCCCTAATTTGTAGCTTTTAATTTTGGAGGTATAAGTGTTAACTGAAAATTTAACAGCTGGCTCCAGCACACCACTAGTCATGCAGCTAGTAAGTGTCTGAGGCCAGACTTGAACTCGGGTCCTTCTGACTCCATATCTAACTTCTCTATCTGCTGCACCACCCAGCTGCCAGATAGCTTCTAATTTGGAGGGTTCTGAAAATCGTTTTTGTGACGATACAAACATGTTATAACCAAACTAGCTTATAGGGTGATGACCATAAGGGATGTGATACCTAGACTATTTCTCACAACAATCATACTGTAATATTTAAAAATACAACCCTGCAATGCCTCAGTTTTCCCATCTGTATAAATGGGACAATTGGCCATCCTGTAATCCCAGTACAACAGGTGCTATCATGATTAAGGTGTCAAGATTTGGAGAGTGCTTTCAGCTCGGGGCATTTAGTTTGCTATGTTTTAATGTACAAAAATAGGACACTGTTGTTGCTGGGGCAGTTACAGTCCAGAAATTATTATTCCCTGGCTGGCTTTTATGAGTACTACATTTTACTTGAGGTTTTTATTGCTAACTAAACTCCGATTATTACAACATCTCTCAACTTCCCCTTGTGGCAGGATACTTATAAAAAGAACAATTTACAAGTGTTATAGGATAGAATCTAAGTAAAAGAAAAAACTCAGCAAGGTAATAACACACTCACTACCCTCATGTTCGTCAGCTTCGGTATCTCTTTTTAATCACTTTGCTCAAATATTTCTTGAGAGCCAATTCTGGTAAAAATTTTAAATTAAAGTACTATTAAAGGCAAATTGCATTAATGTTTAAAAATGAGATGCCCTTGAAAGCTGCAGCTTAGGGAAATAATCAACAAGTTATTAGCTCTGGGTTTTAATAGCATTTTTACATAGAAGGAAAGTAACTCAGTGGAAGAACATATTTACAAATGGGTAAAGATGGTAGTTTAAAAAATCATTTAACTTTTTATGCTTGCCTAGTTAAAAAGGTCAACCACAATCAAATGGCTAGTGTAGCCGCCGCCTAACAACCGCTCCATATGGAAAGGCAGTAATGAGAATATGTTAGTTGGCGCTAGTAACTCGGTTTAAGGGCCAGTTGCTGGAGTCAGATTTTGCCTACTGCAGCTAAAAGCCCTAGTTATATTCTAATACCAAATTCTTCTGCCCTCCATCAATTATAAATTTCTTATATAAGTGTATCCATTACCAGGCTCACAGACTGGGAGTGAATTTTCTCCCTTGGAGCTCTTCCAGAAGCCATCAGCCCCACACCGATATTTACCTGCAAATCATTGAAAAAGAAAAAAAAAAAAGCTTAAATTAACTGCATATATAAGATGGTTGTCATTTGTCTGAATACCACCTTGAAGGATGTTGACTCTTGAGCATCAGTGTCTGAATAACCATTTTACATGATTTCATAAACAGGAGGTCTCTGCATTACCATGTTTGCTTGCAAAGTGGAAACCTTTTAGATGTGTAACTTGAATATGTATCAAGATCTCAAGTGCTTAATGATACGGTTTTTGGCTTGTTAAATTAAACCATTTGGAATATATTGTGTGTTTGGAGTAGTCATTTACTGGATAAGATCTGTTTTCGAATTCTAGCAAATTGACATTAAATGTCACTTGAGCTATAATATTTCACTTAGCAATGGGAAAAGTGCCTTTTAATCTTTCTTCTAGCCTTGGCCAAAAATGTTGGTTAAAGTTTATTTTCAGGCCTTGAGTGTACATGTTCTCAATATCGTCCATCCCCAGTGCCGGAGAAGAATTATCTTACCATCATTATTCATTTTCATAGTGTAGAAGGGGTCCTTGCAGCTATATTGAATCACAGCTTCATATGTGGTCACTTCACCATCTGTGATGTATGTCACTTGGCCATTGAGTAGATCGTCGGGCGGGCCACAGTCAACAACTAATAAACATGGGGGACAAGAGGAGGAGGAAGAAGCAGATGAAGCAAAATACTTTATATGCCAATATGGAAATGGTCTAGACACCTATAAGCAACTCATGTGGACATGTGGCAACAGAGGGCCATTCATCCCCGCACAATGTCATTTCCCTGCACATAGTGGGCATTTCTAATTTCATCTGTGAGGAAAGGAAAGGACTGCTGTAGAGTAACTTCAAAACATCTCTTCTATCTTTAAGATGTAATTTGTTTAGTCATTTTTTTAGTCATGTCCAACTCTCTGTGACTCCATTTGGGTTTTCTTGGCAGAGATACTGGAGTGTTTGCTGTTTACTTCTCCAGGTCATTTTACAGATGAGGAAACTGAGGCAAACAAGGTGAAGTGACTTGCCCAGGGTCACACAGCTAGTAAGTGTTTGAAGCCATATTTGAACTCCTGAAGATGAGTCTTCCTGACTCCAGGCCTGGCGCTCTATCCACTACAGTGCCACCTAGCTGTCCTAAAATGTAATAGTGTTGTGGAAAAAGAACTAAGTCAGATGATCTGGGTTCAAATTTCAGGTCAAATGCTTAGCTGTGTTATCATGGGAAAGTCACCTAACCTCTCTGAATTTCTGCTGTTGTAAATTAAGAAGCACTTAAAAAAATAAGCATAAAAAGACACAGAAATGTGAACTGCCACTGCCATTTCTATCCTGAGCTATTGGGCTTTGACAGTGTCTCCTAAAGAAAGAGATGGGTTGCCTTTCACAGAATTTCATAGTTGGACAAAACCTTAGAGACCCCATGGCCCTGCCCATTCCTGGAGGGATCCCTGCAACATTTTTTTTCTTTTGGAGGCAATGGGATTAAGTGACTTACCCAGGGTCATACAGCTAGCTAGTAAGTGTCTGAGGTCGGATTTGAACTCAGGTCCTCCTGACTCCAGGGCCAGTGCTCTATCCACGGCACCACCTAGCTGCCCTCCCTGCAACATTCTTGACCAGTGGACACCCGGTCCTCACTCAAGACCTCTGCTGAGAAGGATCCCACTACCTTCTGGGGCAGTCACTTCCACTTTTGGATGGTTCTGATTTCTGGAACATTATCTTTTTGCGATTTCTGCCTATTGATCCTAGTTCTGGCTCCTGGGGCAAAGCAGAGACAATCTATTCCTTCTACGTGAATGAATGAATAAATACAAAGTGTTCCTGGAGGGATTATTATGTATCAAGGGCTGTGCTAAGCACTGGGGATATAGATACAAAAGAAAGAGTGAATGTGGTCATACAAAAGTAGATTGAGGCACCCATTCCAGGAACAACAGCAGAGTTTAACTATGGGCTCAATTCAGCTGTTTTTCAGTCGTGTTCCACTCTCTGAGACCCCATTTGGGGTTTTCTTGGCAAAGATATAGGAGTGGTTTGCCTTTTTTTTTTTCCAGCTCGTTTTACAGGTGAGGAAACAGAGACAAACAGGGTTAAATGACTTGCCTGGGGTCACACAAATAGTATCTTGAGGCCAGATTTGAACTCGGGTCTTCTTGACTCTAGGCCCAGACTCTATCCACTGAGCCACCTAGGTGCCTCCACCTGACATATGGTAGGTTCTTAATAAATGCTTGCTGACTTAATCACAAGGACCTTAACAAAATTCCTCTCAAAATATGGGCCCCGATGTGGTCTGATAGGATAGAACCCAGCCCAACAGTCACGTGCCTGGTCCTAAACTTAATCTAGCCTAAGATGACGCCTCATACTAACATTGCACGTTGAGGTTAGCGTGAACTAAAACCTCCCTATCTTTTTCGGATGAATTATTGGCTAGCTGTGTACTTGTGAGGTTGGTGATTTTTGATCCCATGTTTAAGACTTTCTTAATTCCCTTCCTTCAACAATCCACAAATCTGTCCTTCTCCAGTTTCCCAGCACATAGCCCGCTTTCCGCCGTCTTCCAGCATTTGCTGACTGTAGCCTGACCATCTCAACTGCCAGTACCCTCAATACAGGTCATCAGGGGTAGCTAGGTGGCGCCATAGTGCACAGAATGCAGGACCTGGAGTCAGGAAGACTCATCTTCCCGAGTTCAAATCTGGCCTAGGACACTTACTAGCTGTGTGACCCCGGGCAAGTCGCTTGTTTGCCTCAGTTTTCTCATCTGTAAAATGAGCTGGAGAAGGAAATGACAAACCACTCCTGTATCTTTGCCAAGAAAATCCAAAATAGGGTCACAAAGAGACAGACACGACAAAAATGATTGAATAACAACAAACTAGTGATCTGAACCTATGAAATACAGCTATGTGTTCTCTTACTATCTCTTTAAGGATCATTAGATAACAACGCCCTACTAGGCATTTTTGTCCTGTCCTTTCCATTCTAAAGATAATTCTCCTTAGCAGGTAAAAACCAAAACCAACCCAGAAACACAATTAGAGGGGCATCTCTACTTCTCCATGTCCATTACTGTCCCCTCATCCATCCCTAACAGTAATTATGTGTCTTCTGACAACCCTCTTTTCCCCAAGATACCTTATTTATTTATTTATTTTTTGTCTAGGCAATGGGGTTAAGTGACTTGCCCAGGGCCACACAGCTACTAAGTGTTATGTGTCTGAGGCTGGATTTGAATTCAGGTCCTCCTGAATCCAGGGCTGGTGCTCTATCTACTGCACCACCTAGCTGCCCCTTCCCAAGATAGCTTTTTAAAAAATCATTCTTCTTGTTCTTAGCTTTCCTTACCAGCCTCAGCTTCTTCTGAGTTCAAGTGCTCCTGATGTAATTCTCAGAGCTATGCCCTCCTTACCTGCCCTTGCTTCACCATCTACAAATGCCTTTTAAAACTGCAGCTTCTTCAATGAGTTCCCTGTGCATCCACATCCATCTCTTTAGACAAGTCCCTTTCATTTCCTCACTGGAATGTAACTCCCCATCTCTCCTGGACTGACATTTCCCATACAATTTTTAATCTATGAGGTCCTCTCTCTCCTTCTCTGAATCAACTTCCTCTGTGGACTTGCATCCATGAAATTCTCCTTTTCCTTTTCCTTCCTAAGAATTTCAAAGGACTTCTGGAGTCCCCTGGCTATCTTATTTCAGCACTGGGAGGGGATAGCAAAAGCCATAGAGATAGAAGGTGGAGAAAATTGGATACGGTCCACCTGGCTTCAAGGATAATGTTCAATTTATAACTTGGCGAAACATTAGAACAGAAAGGACCTTGAAAAAACTACACACAGGAGAAGGGCTAGATGACCTCCAAGTTCTTTCCCATCATTAGGTTTTTTTGATGAAGAGAATGTAAAAACTTCCAACTGGACAACAGAATGGCTCTGTGCTCAGAGGTATCACTTTGAGATCTGGGAATGGTCAGACAAGGAAACATTCCAGGGGCTGGACTGCACCATAAAACATGAAGATTTTTGATTTTAAGGCTCCATGTATTAGGATATGTTAGTGGTTCTCTATTCTGCCTCTCTCTAATGCACATATCATATACCATTGTGTGCTGGATTTATCTGTGTTTGCATTTTATCATAACCTTGTTGGACTGATGCTCCTTGAGAACAGGGACCATGTCATAGCTAAACTTTGTTTCTTCTTCAGCATCGTGCTCTGCACAATGGATGCTTAATACATATTTGCTGAATAAATGAATATATGGTATGGAATGTTAGCTGCAGCTATACATGACTAGTGTCAATTCAACTCAAGAAGTGTTTTCTTAAAGCACCTACTAGGTGCCAGGCACTATACTAAGTAGCAGGGATGCGAAGACAAGAACCAAAAAAAGGTTATAATCCCTGCCTCAAGACAAATATTTGGGAAGAGATGGGGTCAGAAAGGGGGAAGGGGAGACAGAGAGACAGAGAAAACGAAGCATAGATAGAGGGACAAATGGGAGGGAGAGGAGGGAGACACAGAGAGACAGAGAGAGAGACAGAGATGGAGAGAGAAGCAGAGAGAGACAAAGAGAACGACAGAAAGACATGGACAGGGACAGCTAGGTGGTGCAGTAGATAGAGCACCAGCTCTGGAGTCAGGGGTACCTGAGTTCAAATCTGGCCTCAGACGCTTGACACTTACTAGCTATATGACCCTGGGCAAGTCACTTAACCCCAATTGTCTCACCAAAAAAAAAAAGAAAGAAAGAAAGAAAAGAAAGACAGAGACAGAGGGGAGAAGGAGAGTGAGAAACAGAGAAATAGAACAACAGAAACAGAGAAGAAGGAAGGAAGGGAGGAGAGTAAAAGAAAGCAGGTGGTGGGGGGAGAGAATGAGAGCCTTGAGAAACACAGAGACAGAAATATAAAATTAGTGCGAAATAATATGGGGTTCTGAGGGGCACCAACTATTAGGGAAAGCCTCTTAAAGGAAGTTAATCTGATCCAGAAGGCAAGCCGTGCTCAAAGCAGATGCTCAATAACTATTTAGTGTATCTGAAATATGGTAATTTAAACATTGTATTTCAACAGTTTTCAATGAACTTACTAATGGGCACTTATATACATACATGCATATATGTGTGTGTGTGTATATATATATATAGTTTTGTATTAAATAAAAGCTTAAAAAAGGATATGGTCAGGGGCTTCTTCTTTCTAATCCAGGATTCTGGAGCATTCAGATTTTTGGTCACTATTGCTGTTTTCTGGTGTCAAAATAAATGAAGAAAGAGTGATTTACAAGTAGGTGACTTTGTGGGACTCAAACATCCCCTCTGTGGGATAGAGGCTTGTTTTTTATACTCTGTTTTCTAGTTTGCTTTATCAGGGGTAAAAGAATCACTATCATCCCCACTGTCAGCATCAGCCTTACTGCTGCATTCTGGCATTGCTTGGTCCCAGGTTCCACCTTTCTGACAGACTGCAGTAAAAGACTCCAAAATCCTTTCATCCTGATGAGGAATAGAGAAAATAAAACCATTTATGCATTAGTGCCCTAAAAAATTTCTAAGTTAGTGTCATCACAAAGACGGCAATGTGACACTGTGACTTTCCTTACTGTTCTCTCCCACTCTGCTCCCAACTCTCCTCCCTGGCAGCCTCCTCAGTCTGGAGATACCTCCACTGCTGGGACTCCCCTCCTCCTACTGGAGAGTCCCTGCCTGGAACCTCCTTTTGAGGGACTGCCCAGGCTCATCTCTCCCCTGGCTCCACGCCCAATTCTAGACTTTATGTTGTTCCTTCTGCTCTTCAGTTCTCCTGTATGCTGTCTTCCCCATTAGAGTGTAAGCTCCTTGAGGTCAGGCACTGTCTCTTTTTGCTTATATTTGTATTCCCAGTGCTTAGCACAGTGCCTGCCACGTAGTCAGTGTTTAATAAATGCTTTCTATCTACCTTTCTGTTTGTCTGTCTGTCTCTGTCTATCTATCCATCCATTTATTTGTTGGTCCATCTATCTATCTATCTGTCTGTCTACCTACCTATCATTTGTCTGTCTATTCTATCTATCTACCTACCTGTCTATCTATCCATCTATTTGTTGGTCCATCTGTCTGTTCACCTATCTATCTATCTATCTGTCTGTCCATCTGTCCATCCATCTGTCTGTCTATCTATCCATTCATCTATTTGTTGGTCCATCTGTCTATCTATATATCTATCTGTCTATCTATCATCTATATATCTACCTATCTATCCTATCTGTTCTATGTATCTATATCTATCATCTATCTATCCACCTGTCTCTGTATATCGATCTATCTAATCTATCTACTCCATGTATCTATCCATCTATCTATCTATCTATCTATCTATCTATCTATCTATCTATCATGTATCTATCTATCATGTATCTATCTGTCTGTGTGTCTGTCTATCACTTCCTCTATCTATCTATCTATCTATCTATCTATCTAATCTGAATCTCCATTTATTTGTTGGTCCGTCAGTCTGTCCATCTATCTATCTGTCTGTCTGTCTACCTACCTATCATTTGTCTATCTATCTATCCATCTATTTGTTGGTCCCTCTGTCTTTCGACAGAAAGATATATCTATCTGTCTATCCATCTATCTGTCTATCCACCTATCTATCCTATCTGTTCTATGTATCTATATCTATCTATCTATTTATCTATCTATCTATCTATCTATCCTATCTACTCTATGTATCTATCCATCTATCCATCTATCTATCTATCATCTTTCTGTGTTCTAAGCTATGTTTGGGTATTTGTATGCCAGGGTGTGGGGAGTTATTTATTGCTTGGGAGAAGGAGGATCTGTGGCTTTATCAGTACAGGGAATTGCCTGAGATTCTAAAAGGGGAGTCACATAATTAATTAATGTCAGAGAAAGGACTAGAACCTAGGACTTCCTGACTGTAAGCCCAGCAGTGGATTCACTGTGTAAAGCAGCTTCAGTAGCTATGCTATTATTAAGATACTACATACTCATATATGATGTAGAGATCATGTGGCAGAGCAGACAGAGGGTCCACCTTGAACTCAGGAAGAGCCAGCCCCAGGTTCCACCTCTGAGAAATATTAATTGCATGATGATTGTTGTTCTTCAATCATTTTCAGTCATGTGGGACTCCCCATGACCCCATTTGGGCTTTTCTTGGCAAAGATACTGGAGTGGTTTGCCATTTCCTTCTCCAGATCATTTTACTGATGAAGAACTGAGGCAAACAGGGTTGAATGACTTGCTCAGGGTCACACAGCTAGTAAATGTCTGAGGCCGGATAGCTGTTCATTTAACCTTTCAGTTCAGGAAGAGAAAGATGAGAAAGGGGAAACAGGAGGGAGAGGGAGAGGAAGAGGAGGAGAAGAAGGAAAGATGGAGGGAGTGGAGGGACTGGAAAAGTTGTATCTTCCTTGGAAGAGAAGTGATGTCACAGTGGATAGAGCTCTGGGATTGGATACTAGAAGATCTCAGCTCAAACCTGCCTCAGATATTTATTAGCTGTGCAACTCTAGGAAAGTCACTCAACCTCTCTGGACTCATGGATCTCTAAGGTTTCTTCTAGCCCTCAATCTATATATGATTCAGTCTCTACGGGTGCAGAGCAAGGAATAAGTTGTCAGACGTGGTCAATGTGTTGATTTGTTTTGCTTCCCGGGCCTTTGTTACCAGGGAGGGTTCTATGGTGTGTGTGTGTGTGTGTGTGTGTGTGTGTGTGTGTGTGTGTGATATAACAAAAGAAGCCACCAATAAAATATTTATTAAAATAACAAAGAGCCCTAGTTTGGACATCCAAGAATCTTGGTGTCTCTGCTATTCGGTAACTAGGAATGGGCAAGTCACCCAACCCATCTGGGCCTCAGCTTTGGTAAAAAGAGGAGGGCATGAGAGAAGGTCTTTAAAATTCTTTCCCATCCTGTTATTCTAAGTGACCCTGAAGTTTTTCCCCACTGGAGGGAAAAAAAAAAAAACGAACCAAAATCCTGCAACAATCCAGGAGACATCTTGGACAGAGAGGCTCCTTGTGACTCAGAGGATCATGGGATGGGCTTCCTGGAAATGCAGGTGTTTAAGCATCAGTGTGGTCTAAGGCATTGTGGGAAAGGAGAACTCGAAGTTTTGCTAAGGTGAGAAAAGTGTCTCACCTCTCTTGTCGCTCTGCAGGACTGTGGATTGCCTCGCTGTCATTTTAGGGTTATTACTTTTTACTACAGGGACTTAGTGACAATTTTGAAGAACATAAAGAGGACATGTTAATCTCCTACCTGGGCCACTCAAGCAACTTGCTAAGCATTTTTTAAAATTATACTACCTCTCCCTGACCAGTGATCACTATTTATAACTTTGCAGAACATACAAATTCCTGTTGGCATCTCATTTTTTGTGCATGGGGGCCCAGGAGTTGTTGCAGAGAAAGGTCATCTTTGGGCCAGGGGGACTGCCTGCCTCCATTTTAATACAGAGGCGTTTCACTGAAGAGAGTGATCCTGGACAGGTAACTCATCTGCCTGCCTTCCCTTTGAGCTCAGCCTTTATCCACACATTGGGTCCTAAAGATGGGGGCCAACAAAGAGAGAAACTATATCTTTTTATCCCAAATGTTCTATCCTTGCCTCAAAAAAAAGGGAGCAGAAATACCAGGAGTCGGGACTTCTCCAGTGACACTCCTCTTGTTCTCTCAGAACTTACTTTGGAAAGGACGTATCCCGTCTCACAAGAGAGAGAGAAGTGTTCCGTCATGATGTATTTCGGTTGCACTGGCGCGATGCGGCCATGAGGTGGCGATATTGGAATAGGGCATGGCTGAGCTAAGCAAGGATGGAGAAGAAATGTTACACGAATAAACTTTTGGTCTTAGAAGAAATAATGTCTCAATATAGACCCCACTTTTTTTCCCTCCCCCAAATCTGTTGAAAGTGAATGGATAAATGGATGACAAGGCATTTATTAAGTGCATACCATGTGCCAAGCACTGTGCTGAATGCTGGGGATACAAATAGAAATACAGGGCCTGCCCTCAAGGAGTTTACATTTAATGTATAGAATGTAAACATATAGAATGTAAATGTATAGATGTAGGGTAAATGGAAAGGCCCCAAAGTCCTAAGGGTGCGGTAGAGGGACTGATGGCAAAGTCTAGGGGTTCTCAGGTTACATCAGTAAGTCAAATATATAAGACATGGAGGCAGGGTAGGGGAAAGGCGTGGTGAGCCATCCGTCTCACAGGAAGAAATGGAGGCGTTGAGTCTGGACTTATCCCACCTGTGTGCAAGCAGCCTGGATGGGTCTTTGGTAGATGGGACCAGTAGAGTGGGTGAAGGAAGAAAGGACCGGGGGTATGGGGGAGGAGGGAGCACCCTGACAGTGATAAACCAAGGACTGGATTTTCCTAGGATCAGAGAATCTCAGAGTTGGGAGAGACCTGAGACTGACAGCCTTTTCTCTGTCTTGGCGGTCATGTAGCTTCTGTTCCTTCACCTGATTCTCACACGGCATGATCCCAAAGACCTCTCGGCATCCTGGCTGCCTTCCTCTGGCTGTTCTCCACCTTGTCATCGCCCTTCCTAAACTGGGGCACTCAGAAATGAAGACACTATTCCAGGGCAGGTTGAAACAGGATGGTCACCTCCTTAGTCCTGGACACTTTCTCAATACGGCCTAAGGTTGCTTAAGCTTTCTCAGAAGCCTAATATCACGCTGTTGCCTCATACTGAGCTTGCTGTCCACTAAAAACCCCAGATTGTCTTGAGATGAAGTACCTCCCTCATCTTGACCTTTATAGTCAACTCCTTACTCTATGTACCAACTAGTCGCTGAATCTCAGCGTTTCCATGACTTCACAATATGGCTCCTGTCTGATTCCTTCTTTCTACTCACAGAGCTGCCATTTTGGATCAGGCCTTTGTCTCACCTCTCACCTACTTTATTGCAGCAGCCTCCATTTAGGAGGTCTCCTTGTTTCCTGTCTCTCTCCACTCCTCCTCCACATCCTCCATACAGCTGCCAAAGCACAGATCTGGCCATATCACTCCTTACTCTGTCAACTCCAATGTCTGCTCCAGTGGCCTCTATGATAAAATATAAATGTCTCTGTTTAGTTCTAAAGCCTTAAGCAACTTGGCCCCTCTCTTTCCAGCCTCATTGGACATTACTCCGCCCTTACACTCTGCAGTACAGCCATACTGGTCTTATTTCTCTTCCTCACCACACTCCATCTACCACCTCCAAGTCTTTGCCTTGGTTGTTCCCCATGCCTGGAATGCCCTTCTTCCTCATCTCCACCTCACAGAGTCCTTCCCTTCCTTCAAGTCCCAGTTCAAGCACCATCTTCTGCATAAAACTCTTCCTGATCCCACCAACAGCTAACACCCTCCCTCCTTTTCAAACCACCTTGTATTGAACTAATTTGGAGATATTAGTGATTTCTCACTTTATATTTTCTACTTAATTGTTGTCTCTTCCATTAGGAGGTAAACTCTTCGAAAGAATTGTTTCATTCTATGTATTCGTATCCCTAGAGCCTAGTAACTGTTGGTTGTTTTCTTCTCTTTCTCAAAGAGGACCAAAATGACCACCATGTTGGAATCTAAGTAATGTGTGTCCAACTGTGGCTGCTCAGACCAATACAAGCTTGGAAGGCTCTACCACAGGTCGGGCACAAACAGTCCACACAAACATTTGGAGTGGAGATGTTTCTAATAATACACACTTAAATACTTGTTAATTGATGGATGATTTAGAAGCAGATTTCAGCTTCATATAAAGAAAAGATGCCCAAAAGTAGAATGCACCACCTTGGGAGATGGCAAGTTCTCATCATTGCAGCTCTTCAAATAGAGGCTGGGTGACAGCTTATCAGGTACATGGTATAGTGGATTCTTATTAATAAATACCTGAAAGTTTGGGTAGGGCTAGTCAGCATCTGAGGTCCTTCCAACTCTGACATTTTGTGATTCAGAAATTTCTTTGTAGGGGTAGCTAGGTGGAGCAGCAGATAGAGCTCCGACCTTGGAGTCAGGAGGACCTGGGTTCAAATCTGACCTCAGACACTTGAAATTTATTAGCTGTGTGATCCTGGGCAAGTCACTTAACCTCGATTGCCTCACAAAAAAAAAAAGAAGAAATTTCGTTGTAGGGGAATATTCAAGGTGACTCATATTAACATAAACATGTTTCATAGAATCATAACTATAGTACTGAAAAGGACTTCAGAAGCCATCTCGTCCACACTCCCCCATTTTACAAATGAGAAAACTGAGACTAACAGAGGTTAAATGTCTTCTCCAAGATCCAAGTCAGGATTTGAACCCAGATCCAGTGCCTTTCCCACTCTACCATGCTTGCTTATCAACTGAATCCTACCCAGAAGTTGTAGTGGGGAATCTTGGCCAGCTTTGCATCTAATAAGTTCTTAATGAATGCTTTTTCATTCATTCATTCGTTTGTTTGTTCCTTTGTTAGTTCAGGTAGCTGCCCTTTGAGGACCTTTCCAACACTAAGATATTGAGATTCTGTAACTTGGGAGTCAGAAGGAATTTGAGAGATTATCTCATCTCATTCAAAACCTCATTCATTAAATCCATATATCTTATTTTACAGAAGGCAACGAAAGAAGGGATAATTAAATAAGAATTAAGTATCTTTTCCTGACTGGGAATTAAAAAATCACCAAGCCTGTGCTTGGTGTACAAGGTAGGTTTTGTCATGGTTTTTGGAGTACGGGTCAAATGATCCAAGAAAGGCTAAGTCTCTACTGACAGAAGGTGAATTTGAGAGGCCTGGACCATCCCTCACACAACTGCCAAAGCAATTTTCCTTAAACCCAGATCCGACTGCATCACTTCCTGCTTAGTCAACTCTCCACATGCAACCAAGTAAGGTTTTACAGAGTTTGTTCATTTGTTTTTACAGAAGCCTTCTCCAGGACCTAACCTAGGGAATTACCAATTCAGCCAGGAAAGAGGCCTCGCCTAAAACTTAGAAACCTGGACTCTCAGAGCTGGACGGGACCTCAGAAGTCACCTGAGAAGCAGGGTGGTATAATGGTTAGAGCCCAGGACTTGGAATCATGAAGACAAATCTGCACATGGGTTTGGATTTCTCCCTGGATTAGCCTGTATGGACTTTCTGCTTGGTAATCACCTGGATAAATTTACTCCAGAGAGGAAGTGTGGTTCAGTGGATAGAGACCTGGCCTTGGAGTCAGGAAGACCTGGCTGTGTGACCATGGGCATATCCCCTCACCTTCTCAGTGTCCCCGGGGAACCTCTGTAAATGACCAGGAGGGTGCTGACTTGCATCAGCAAATGGAATATCTTCACTGAGAGTTCCCTATATGGAGGAAACCCCCATCCCCATCCACTCTCCATTCCAATCAAGCTGGCCCACTGACTCTTCCCCAAATAAGACATTCCTTCTCCCACCTGGCTGTCTCCCATTCCTGGAAAGCTCTCCCTGCTCACCTCCACCTCTTAAAATCAATGCCCAGCAGCTAGGTGGCACAGTGAATAGAGCTCTGGCCTTGGAGTCAGGAGAAACTGAGTTCAAATCCAGCCTCAGACACTTAACACTTACTAGCTGTGTGACCCTGGGCAAGTCACTGAACCCCGATTGCCTAACCAAAAAAAAAAAATCAATGCCCAGATTCCTTCAAAGCACAGCTCAGAGGCCACCAGAGCCTTTCCCTGGTTTTCCACTCATTAGCGCTCCCTTCCTCCATCTTGAAATCACTTTATTTTTACTTATCTGTGTACCTGCTATCTCCCCCCTCACCCAGTAGAACATAAACTACCTGAAAGCAGGTATTGTTCCTTTTGGTCTCTGGACCTGGAGTCAGGAAGACCTGAATTCAAATCCTACCTCTCATACTTACTAGCTGTGTGGCCCTGGACAAGTCACTTAACCTCTGTCTACCTCAGTTTCTTAAACTATAAAATGAGGATAGTAATAACACTTAGCTCCCAGGGTTGTTATGAGGCCCAAATGAGATAAGATTTGTTCAGGATGCCTGGCACATGGAAGATGCTATATAAATGCTTGTTCCTTCCCCTTCCTTCTTTGCATTCTTGGCACCTCCCAATGTTTGTTGAACTGAAATGAAAACTGGTATTAGGTTAACGTGTCTTTCATCCGGGACTATTTTCAGGAATTTCCCAATTAAGGAGTCTTTTTTTTTTTTTAATTTTTAAAGGAATTTCCCGTTAAAGTATAAATCTCCAAGCCAGAGATTCTTAACCCCCGGGATCCACAGACCCTCAGGGATTATCCATTGATGGGTTTCAGTGTGATCTCTCAACTTGGAGGGGGGAAAAATTGTATCTTTATTTTTACTGACCTCTAACTGAAAAATGGGGCAGCTAGGTGGTGAAGTGGATAGAGCACCATGCCTAGAGTCAGGAAAACCTGCCGCAGATACTCAATCGGGCGAGTCACTTCACCCTATTTGCCTCAGTTTCCTCATGTGTAAAATGAGCTAGAGAAGGAAACGGCAAACCGCTCCAGTATCCCTGCCAACAAAACCCCAGATGGGGTCACAAAGAGTCTGGAATAAATGAATAACAACAAAACAAAAGCTACAAAGCTTTAATATTCCCTTCAATGATGAATATTGGCAACCAACTTTTTTCTGAAAAGGATCCATATGCTTTACCCAAAGTGCCAAAGAGGTCTATAACATACAAAAAAGTAAGAGCCATTGCCCTAAACCTTAGCCCAAAGAAATTAATTTCTCCTAATGACATTTCAAGTACTGGAGGATGTGTTTGGGGTGAAGAAGGGGAGAGCCTTTTCCCCCACACTGTATATGAGACCACCTATATCATCACCCCAGGTCAGAGGAGGCAGCCCTGGCCTTGCCTCCAGTGATCTTCACTGTGATTGGCCAAATTTGCCCATTGATCTGGAGGGGATTTCAAAAATCATCTCCAACCAATTTTACAGATGAGGAAACTGAGGCTCAGGGAGGTTGTGACTTGTCTCGTCACACAGGCAGTAAGTGTCAGAGGTAGGATTTGAATCCAGATCCTCTGGTTTCAGAGTCAGTAACCTTGCCACTCTGCTAAAGGAAGCATTGTATCAGTTCCAATAACACGACTTGCCCCCTCTCCCAACAAACTCCCCAACCCTGCTGAACGCTGGAACACCAGAGACTTCTGATGAGGTCCAGAGACTCCTACCTGTGCCCCAGTATCGTATCTTCCAGCCGGTGTGGTCTCCCGAGGCATCCGTGATGAAGATGATAGTCGCAGTGTGGCTTCTGGTGTTAATCTGGCGTGGTGAGGTCTGTCCACAGAATGGCCCATATTCCCCCTTGTCTGTTTTAATCTGAAAGAACAAAGTCACACAAAGTTGTAGGCACATCTCAATGGACAAAATGGAAGTGGTGGTGGGGCGGGAGGGGGGGAATCCCTAGGAACGGGTGAGGAAGACTGTATTGAAAGCAAAAGAAAAATAGAAGTGAAGATTAAGAGGCAGCAGTGACCGTGGGGATGGTGATGACAGCCCGGAAGAAACTGACGTGAGCAGAGAGTGTGCTCATCACGGCCGACTGTCACGGCTCCAGTTGTCCCAGATGGTCTGTGTCCCGATGGAGCACGACCAACCCAGCAACCGTTGAAGGGAAATGTTATCAGGACGGATCGGGGTCACTGCTTCAGGCTGGGCACCCAGGTTCTGGGGGAGCCAGCCAGGGGTGGCGGCTGTCATCTGGGCCCCGATGGTTTCTAAGTCAATTGTCCTGTGCTGTTTTCTAACACGAGCAGAAACTTTAAACTGGGACAGCACTCTCCAAGTGAACAGTGTCCTGTAGTGGGGAGGGCACTGGCCAGAGCTCTGAACGGAAAGACCTTGGCCTGGCACTGCCCTTCTCTAAGACTCGGCTTTCTCTTACATAAAATAAACTGGTCTCTAAAGTGCCCTCTGAGCTCTAATAGGCTGTGTTCTAGTGCTCCATGTTCTACACCTCTTCCAGCTCTGACTTTCCATGTTCTAAGGTCCCTTCCACCTGTAACAATCCATGTTCTATGTTCTAAGGTCTTTTCCAGCTTTGACGTTCAGTGTTCTAATATTTTGTGGTCTAATAATATCTCCACTAGCTCTGACATTTTATATTCTGAGATCCCTCCTGGCTTTCACATTCTATGTTCTAACATTTCACAATAGTTTATATTCTGACATTCCATTGTCTGTATTTCTGATGTTCTATATCTTTATTTCTGACATTCTATTTCTAATTTCTCCACTAGCTCTGACATCTATATTCTAAGGCCCTCTCAACTCTGATGTTCTATGTTCTGAGGGCCCTCCCAGCCCTGACATCCTGTTCTAAGGCCCCTCTCAGCTCTGACATTCTGTGTTCTAAGACCCCTCTCAATTCTAACATTCTGTGTTCAAAGGGCCCTCCCAGCTCTGACATTCTGTGTTCTAAGGGCCCTCCCAGCTCTGACTTTGTGTGTTCTAAGGGCCCTTCCAGCTCTGACATTCTATATTCTGAGGTTCCTTATGCTTCTAATATTCTGTGGTGAAGGAGCTAATGTGTCCTCCGTTATTTATTGGTGCCATCAATGTACATCTTAGAGGGGAGGGCAGTGATACACCAAAGGAAAGACTTCATAATGCCAGAATTCCCAGCCCCATGGCACCTGGAAAGGGGAAAGGATCTGGGGGCAGAACAAGACCCCCTTAGGGAAACTCGGGTCTTGCTACTAGGTGACTATCTTACTTAAGGACAGTTGTTGACAGAGAATGCCCAATCTAGAGAAGGCCACTCTTGGCTCTGCACAGACACCTCAAGGGGGCTTGGCAACTTATTTGAGGCTGAAAAGGCAGGAGAACTTTGGAAATCAGTTCTGTGAAAGGAAATGGGTGCTGGGTGTATAGCAGCAACATTGGCCAGAAGCATCAAGCTCCCATCTGAATGTTCATTGGAAGGTGGTGTAGGAAGCTAATCCAGGAGCAGGGAACAAAATGGTGGGATGGAGGGTGGGTGCTGATGATCTAAACAGATGAGCCAGGTTTTAGGGGAACATCCCAGGCAACCCACCTTCAGGATGTCATAGGGACACGGGGTCTCTGGGTGAGTTTCCACATCAAAGGAGCCCTCAAATTCCAGGATGACATTGAATCCATCTTCCAACTGGATGCTATAGCTGCAGCTGGAGAGTTTGGGGTAGGCCTGGGGGTAGTCGGGGCTCATAATCACTCCAGATCTTTCAGTGAAGACCTGGCCTGAGCACTGGGCTAGCGAGAGAACAGGACAAGAGCTGGAATGATAATTTAACTCCTCCAACCACTCCCTCACTCCTCTCACCATAGAAATCACCTTCAGTTCCTTGCATCTGACCACCTTCCCCAGCTTCAAACCCAGAGCTGGAACATCCCCTAATCATTAGTGACTCCAGCTCAGGAAGGCACCCGAGTCACAGCTAGTTCCATTCTGACTCTGGAGGGCAAGGCTGGGAAGCGGGGCTTCGGTGATCGAAGGGGCCCCAAGTCAGGCCCTCGGGCTTCTTCCACGGGTCTCCAGAGAGCCTAGAATTGACTGAGATGTCTCCCAGGAATGCCAGCGGCTCCCCAGAGTAGCTCAGCAGGCTTGCCCAGAGAAGTCTCCTTCCCACTGTGCCCCACAAGTGGTCACCCAACAGGAAGGCTGATTGTTGAGGCTGTCCATCCTATGTTGGGAATCCCAATTCAACATGGCGCTTGTCAGGTGGGCCATAGAGTTAGGCTAGAGTTAGAGTCAGGATTCTGACCCCAAAGTCTTCTCCACTTTGCCCCACCTGCCTTCATGCTCAACAGAGTAGACCAACTTTCTAGAAGGGTCTTTACTTCCTTGGATGATACATTCTGGCTGAAGAAACTAAACTTTCTTACATAACACCCTGGACTCCGCCATGAGCTGGGGAATACCAACAGGCATCTGTCTCGAACTCGGTTCCACGTCACCACAATTTTCTTGTCTTCTGCTACCTTATGAGAACCCCAGGACACCTCCTCTCTCGTCATCCACCTCTGGGGAGACTGTCCCCCTTTCCTGGGCTGCAGAAGGGGGACGTTGGAGCTCATCATGTCACAGATGTCGAGTGAGAAGGGGCCTTAGGGATCATCTAATCTAGGCCAGGGAGGAGTGTCTATCAGAGGCAGGATTGGAACCCAGTTCCTCTGATTCCAAATAATAATAAGAGTTGACATTTCTACAGCACTATCAAGTAATTAATAGTAATGAAAAGTAATTAATATACATTATCTCATTTGAGCCCTACAATAGCCACGAGGGGTAGGTCATATGACCGATGGTATTACTATCACCATTTTGAAAATGAGGAAACTGAGACACATAGCTGAAGTGACTTTCCCATGGTCATGTAACTAGTGTCTGAGGCCAGATATGAATTCCCTGACTCCTGGGACCATAGATTTAGGGCTAGAAGGGCCTTCAGAGGCCATAGAGCCCAACTCCTTTATTTTACATTTGAAGAAATTGAGGCATAGAGCCTCAGTTAAGTGACTTGCCCAGGGTTATACAGCTAGTGTCTGAGGCAGGATTTGAACCCAGAGCCTTCCTATTTGCCTGGCCTCCATACACCATGTTATGTTATACTTTCTGCCAAGTTGGGGAGAGAGATGCTTTTAAATCATGGATTGGAAAGAAAGTCTCTTTGTCTCTCTCTCTCTATCTCTGTCTTTCTCTTTCTATGTCTCTGTCTCTCTCACAGGGCATTCACACTTTCAGTTATCCAATCTAATGATCTCAAGAGACTTCAATTGGGGCAAGAGGTAGGCCCAGCTCTTTGTGGGGAAAGGAGGGAGCAGAGGCAGGACAGATCTGGAGGCCAGCTCCCTGGGTCCAAACTAGGCTGTGTTGGATGGAGCAGTGATGCTCCTTTCCTCCATCCCCAGAGCAGGATTACTCTGGACGCCCTGCAGAGATCACAGGGTCATGGGCGGAGAGCCAGCAGGGACTTTCCACAGGCATCATTGTGTCCAAAGCCCAGACGGGTGCAGGTACATGCCCAGATGGTTTGCCAACACTCTTGGCAAATCTCCGAGCCAGAATTGGAATCCAGGTCCTGTGATTCCAACTCAGCTTTCTTTCCACTGGACTGTGTAGACCCCAGCAACCTGAGAGCACACATCTGAGAAGTGATTCGGGGCCCCCACCCACCCAGCAGTTAGCATTCCTGCAGTAAGTGAGCTGGGGACAAAATCTCATTCAATTCTCCTGCTAACTAACTTGTAGCTGAGACTGAAGGGTCTGAGCAGTGGTGGTTTGGAGGGGGGTCTGCTGGGGCCCAGCCCCAGAGGCGGCAGCTGCTGAGCCTTCCCAGGCAGGCACCGAAACAGTGGCCATGGGAGGAGAGAAGCAACCCTGCTTGGCCGGGGACCTGAAATCCATGTGGTGCCTCAGGGAGGCTGGGGGCAAGGTCACAGAAACCAAGAGTTGCCTCAATAGCAGATGACTGTGGGGCAGCTGGCCTGAGATGGTCTTTGCACAACTACCTAGAGTCTTGCAAGAAATTGTCCCCCTGAACAAGGTTGGGTGAAGACCTGAAATCCAGGCCCAGCTCTGCCATTAACTTGCTATGTGACTTTGGAAAAGTCTCATATCTTGCCTCAGTTTCCTCATATATTAAATGAGAAGATTGGACTCAATACAGCCCCTCCCAGCTCTAAAATTCCCTGTTCTAAGAGCCTTCCCAGCTCTGACATCCCCTGTTCCAA